GTCCCCTATAAACGTGCGAGCCCCGCAAATTTGGATCCAGCTTTCACGCACCCGTGGTACCACGTTCGGTCCCGTGAAAGTTTTGGCAGGGAAATTGTCTCGTAAACTGCAGTAGCTAGGAAGCTGAAATTTTAGCATGGCATCCCCTGTCCATGTATAACTTCGCAAATTTTCAGCGTCCCCGTGGAAATTTCGACAACGAAAATTATTATCTTGGAAGCCAGAAAAGTTAGGAGGCAAAAAATTTCGGCAGAATGTTTCCTGCCTAAGCAAGGGCTTCACAGATTCGAATTCATTTCCAAAGTGTGCCATGATCTCACATATGGCCTCGTGAAAGTTTTTTTTCAGTGATCATTGGAAAGCCAGAAAACTAAGAGGTTGAAATATTGGAAGGATATTTACCCTTCCAGGTTTCAAATTCAGCTTTTACGTGCCGGTACGGAAAATTTTTAAATATTTTTCAACATTTCAACTATTTTTGCACAGACAAAGCACAAAGCAGTGATAATCATTAACAGGCAGTCGTTCAGTGGATGGAATTGCGCAAAACGCATGATCGCACCGGCTATTCTGGTGCGCGCTGCTATTTATTATGTGTTTTGTGCCCCTCCTCCATAAGTCCCCCTGGATCCGCCTATGTGAAAGGCAGCCGAGAAAGAAAAGTGTACATGCTTTGAAAAGCAGATACACAGTAGATGTGTTGTCAGGTTGATTATGTAGCACAAGGGTCGGTAATGTAGTGAGTAACACGTCGCGACTAGAGAGGAAGTGGTTCAATTCCCTCTCGGCTCACAACCATTTTCAAAAAAGTGGCTCCGTTCATTATAGCAAAACTCTATCTATTATGTGGGAGCGCATCCTCAGTTAGATCGAATTTCCATCCCTCTACATTATGTTATTGAAAGGAAATAACTCTGCGCATGTCCTACTGAGCTGTGCTGGAATTGCAAAAGAAATGCAATTAATTAATTTACTGAACGAGAATTTGGCATTATCAGTGTCACGAATTACGTATGTACAGAAGACACCACTGAATCAGTGAGCATGTCAAGGAAAAGCACGAAGAATGTGACTCAGTTTTACTTGAGCACTGTTACGCCTTTGATCTGTTATGTGCTTCTTCGGGGGAAAGGGGACTCATTCGTTTGTGCTTCACGTCGATTCACGTAGTATATTTCGCTTAGCGCTAATGCATTCACGGGGTTCTAAAAAGGGT